CAACAGAGTGAGCCTCCGTCTCAAAAAAAAAAAAAAAAAAAAGATATTTTTACCACATGGTTTTAGCACAGGGGACTGGAGGTGTGCCCAACAGACATGTGATGACAACTATTTTATGTTCAACCTGGACATAAACAGTCATTTACACAGAAGTATTTGTGTGAATTGGATTTGGTCATGATGTGATATTGAGCCAAGAGCATCTTTTCCGCAGAAGGTGATGGGACTTGAGAGATGTTTGGAGATTAGAAGATGTGGGAGCTGTAATCCCATAGCATCTCACCCTGCCGATGCAGCAGGGACTCTTCCTGTGGATCTTATTTTTAGGGCTGTGAGCAAGCAGGCTGTGGGGGTTCTGCTCTGGGCTCAGAATCCTGGCTGTCGCCTGGCATGACTTGTATGAGTCTCACCGGGTGTCTTAAGGAGCTGCCGTAGACCCCAGGGGTAGACGCAGAGCTTCTATGGAAAGAAGTGCAGGTGGCAGGAAGGAAACCAAGGACTGCGTGACTTCTTGAGTGGCTGCAGGAGACTCCTACCTATGTGGATATGGAAAGGGGGAAAGGGAGCTCTGGAAAACTCAGGCTAGAGATTGGACCACAGTGCCAGAAAGATCCAGTTGACTGGTGCCTCATCCTCTTGGGGTGGGGCCCAACAGAAGCTGAGGCAGATGCTCCAGGCTGGAAAACCTAGGGCAAGGCAGGGACACAACAGCTGAGTCAGCCCCCGGGAAGGCTAACAGTGGCAGAGGAGACATGAACATGGTTGCAGACATGGCTGCCTACCCTAATGGATGGGATGGGGCCAGTGAGTAGGGGAGGGGCCAGTGGCGAGGATTTGAAAGCAGAGCCACAGCATGGAGCAGAAGCAATAGTTGAGGGAAAAGGGTGAATGCTTGTGTTTCGATTGTGGTATAGGTGTCTGTGTGATTCTTCCAGAGCGTGGAAGTCAGGCATAGTACATATCTGCTCAACAGCAGGCCTCTGCCTGTTATGAGATTTGCTACCCACCACCACCTGCTCTTTTGTCTCTTATCCTCAGTCTTATTTAAAAAGCAGGATCCTGCAGCTCAGAGAAGGGTAGCCAGTTGTCCAGACACACAGAAAATAAGCAGCAGAGCGAGGAATTGAACACAGATCTGCCCATCTCTGGAGCCTCGTCCTTTACACCACATTAGGGCTCCTTTCAGTCTCTTCCACTGAAGTATCCCGAGCGAAGAAACACCCACAGCAGCAGAACTATGCACTCCACTTCCTATGTTGGACACACACACATATACACACACACATATACACACACACCCCTACTCTTTGGGGTCCTAGCTTCAGCTGCAAACTTCTTCAAATCCATGTGAATTTTGGATTCTATCATCATTATTTAGCCATTTTAAAAACCCAAGACTAAAGTATGGTCATTATTTTCAAGTTTTCAAGTGAAATGGGCTCCAAAAGAAGGCATGTGTTTATCCTGGGGTTTGGTGTTCCTCTGGCCAGGCTGTGTACATACCCTTAGGGCTGTGATCACACCAGACTAGTCCCTAGCACAAGTAGAAATAACCAAAATGCTGACCATGGCAGAGGCTGTCAGAGGAGAGTCAGAAGTGGGAGGGTGCAGACCCCAGAGAGTATCAAGGAGAAACGGTGGATGTTCCCACTGTTCAGCAAATGAAAAGTCACAGATAGGTGGGGATGTCAGCAGTGCAGACTAGAAGCAGTCAGGCAGTTACACGATCCCTGCCATCTGGTTAACCTAACATATTTAAATCTAAAACTAAATATAGCTTCTTTCCCAAAAAGCACTCCGCATATTAAAGAACATAGACAAGATGGAGATTTTCATGTCGTGCCTACAGATGAGGATATTGAGATCTAGATCCTGGCTTAGAATTTCCTGGTGAAGATGCAAGGCATTTCCTGTTTATTCTATCGGTTAGCTTTTGCTTTGTATGAAACTCCCAAAACTTACTGGCTTAAAATAGCAACCATTATATTTGCTTGTAATTCTGGGGACTGGCCATGCAGTTCTTTTAGTCTGGGCAGACCCCTGATAACCATCTGCTGGTGGCGTGGCTGGAGCAGGGTGGTCTGGGATGGCCTCATTCACAGGTGTGGTGACAGCAAACTGTCACCACAGTTTGTTTGAAGGGATCATCAGCTAGGACGGCTTACCTTGGCTCCATGTGGCTCTCATGCCCCAGCAGTCTGGCCTAGGGTCTTCACATGGTAGCAAGTGTTGCAAAAGTAGCAAAGGAAGACAAGCCCCAGTGCATAAGTACTTTTCAAGTCCCTGCTTGCAATACATTTGCTGTTGTCCCATGGTCAAAACAGGTTCCTCGACCAAGCCAAAAGTCAGTATAGGAAAAGACCGAGTAAGCCCATGGATACAAAGGGCATGAAAAAATTGGGGGCTGTTACTGCAACAACTTACCATGCTATACAACTGAGACTTATAGCAAGTAGCCACTGTTTCCACCGAATGCCCGCCTGAAGACAACTCTAAACCATACAGTGGCTAATCTCATGTGAAAAGGCAGTGTTGGCTGGGTGCAGTGGCTCACACCTGTAATCCCACCACTTTGGGAGGCTAAGGCAGGCGGATCACCTGAGGTCAGGAGTTCGAGACCAGCCTAGCCAATGTGGTGAAACCCTGTCTCTACTAAAAATACAAAAATTAGCCGGGTATGGTGGTGGGCACCTGTATTCCCACCTACTCCGGAGGCTGAGGCAGGAGAATCACTTGAACCCAGGATGCGGAGGTTGCAGTGATCCAAGATCACACCACTGCACTTCAGCCTGGACTATAAGAGCGAAACTCTGTCTCAAAAAAAAAAAAAAAAAAGAAAGAAAGAAAGAAAGAAGAAAAGGTAGTATCAAGTGAGACCATAGGAAACATGCTTAGCTGTTCTATTGGCCTCTCCCGCCAGTCAGGGAAGGGGAAATCCCTTAAGAGCATGGAAGCAGGAAGTGGTTGAGGGACAAGACCTGACCCAGCAACAGAAACAAGGCCCTCCCTTCCCACATGCAAATGCAGGGCAACCAGCAGGCAGGTCGGCCTCTGAGGTGATGACACAAAAGACACCACGCGGCATCAGAAACCAGAGGTGAGTGATTCCCCAGGGCCAGCACAGTGGCTTCCCAGTCCCGGAGTGAGAGGCCTGAAGACAAGATTTGTGCCAGAGCTGCGGAGGGAGGGATGTGCAGGAGAACACGTGTACGTGTAGTACTGAGCTTGGAGGCACTGACTCTTGGTTAAGGATAGTGACTCATGGGACAGAAGCATTTCCCTCAAACTCTTCCTTTCCATCTTGGGCCTGGGAGAATGGCTCCCACAAAGAAGGGTGGGAAGAAGAAAGGCCATTCCGCCATTAACCAGATGGTGACCTGAAAATACACCATCAATATTCACAAGCATATTCAAGAAGCATATTGAAGAAGGGGCTTCAAGAAGGTGCCTCTCCAGCACTCAGAGAGATTGAAGGGGAGGGGGAGTTCAGATGTGCACATTGATACCAGGTTCAACAAAGCTGTCTGGGCCAGAGGACTAAGGCACGTCCCATTCCATCATGCGCGGCTATCCAGGAAACATAATGAGGATGAAGATTCAACAAACAAGCTCTATATTTGGTTACCTATACCTGTTACCACATTCAAAAATCTAGTCATTATGGATGAGAACTAACTGCTGGTTGTCAAATATGCTAAATAGAGTTGTAAAACCACAAAATCAATAAATAAAATGAAATTGGGATCTATTTGTTAACAAAGATACTGGTTGCTGGACACACAGGTGCAATCATAAGGTACAAGTGTATTTTCATCAATCTGTTAGCAAATGTTGTCTTTTGGTAGAAAGTCTGACAGGTCCCTTAAACAAGTGGGTTTTCAAAGTCACCTTCTGGGCCCTTGGGGGAGGAGGTGGGAGGCAAGGGGCTCCGGGAGTCTGGTTCCTGCTTCATTCTCAAAAGATGTGCTTTTCATAGTACAGCTTATTGAGATAGGATTCACCCCAGGTGTACAGCTCAATGGCTGTATTCAGTTATATTCACAGTTATGCAACCCTCACATATTAGCAGATGAGCTTTTATCTGATTTTGTCTATCTGGTCTCTGAAGGAGATTATATTTGAATGGGGAAAAGATTCAAGTTTGAAATTACTGTTACAATCTAACTGTAGTTTAAGAACCTTTTCTAAAGAGACTATGGTTTGCAAGTTCTCTTTAAAATCCCAAAGAGACCCAGGAAAGAAACTTGACTTCTAAAACTGATAGAGTAAAAGTTATAGTAGTCATTCATTTTTTTTCTTTTTTTCACAGAAGGGACTTTTAGGGCTTTATTCAGCTTTTTTAAAAAGTCCTTTTGCACACTTCTAATGTGGTTAGGGGAATTTTGAATAGGCAGGACGAGGCTTCCAGAAGACCCATCCATACAGCTGAAATAGGCTTAGTGGTCCAGGATGAAAGGTGGTCTCAATTAGCAGATGGAGCCAGTCAGTGTAGGAGCAAATCCTTTTGCACACCCAAACCATCCCCCAAGGAATTACTGTAGGACATGTTGCAAAGATTGTTGTTCACATTAACAATTACAATTAAAGAAGACCAAGATCATTTCAACAGAATGTCCATCAAAAAACGTTGAAGATGTAAAGGTTAAAGGTCACAGCAAGATGAGTCCATGTGAAGATTTCCCTCATTGTCCGGTACACTGTAAATACTCAGTAAACATCCTTTGTGTTTTTCCTTGAGAAAGTCATGTCTGTAAAATATCTCATTCCCTGTTGGTGTCAGATAAACAAAGCATTCATGAACTGGTTTTCTCCTAACTCGAAGGGAGCATTCTCGCTTGGGCTTATTTGGGGGCACAGACTAATCATGGAGCATGCTGTTGTTCTCCAGCTAGACATGCATGCTTCCCTGCCAGGGGACTGGGCTAATCAGATTATTTTCAGTTGACAAATTTGGTTTTCCATCTCTAAACACTCATTTATCACCTCTGCTTTATTCACAGGACATGTTCCCGATTTGAGGTGAAACCATGAAGAGAAAATAGAATACTTAATAATGCTTTTCCGCAACCGCTTCTTGCTGCTGCTGGCCCTGGCTGCGCTGCTGGCCTTTGTGAGCCTCAGCCTGCAGTTCTGTGAGTAGAGCCGGGCACGGCAGGTCGTGGGAGGGTAGGGGCTTCGTAGGAAACAAGGAGGCCCCAAAGCCTTGTTTTATAAATGAACAACGAAGTCTTTTTATTGTTGGCGCTCACACTGGCCGGTTGCAAGGAGGGACCCTAAACCACCGAGCAGTGTGCTGTGTGCTCTTTTGACTTTTGCATGAATTCCTGAACTGCCTGGTTATTCCCAGATTTTTTGTTCAGATTCCCCAGATGGAGACGCTGAATGGCCCTGCTTGACTTATGCTGAGCTACACAGAGCAGAGGTGTTTGGCCCTTTGATTGGGTTCTTGAAAGTTGGGTGTCTGTTTCGCGTTCCGTCAGCCGTGGGGCTGGAGTTGTTTGGGGGAGGGTGGGGAGATTAGGTCAATAGTATCAAACCCACCCCACAGGCAGCAGGGGCTGCATGGGAAATCCCCTGTGATGAAACAGGAGCACTCTGATAAAGCCAGGCCATGGGCCTCACCATGCAGCATCCTCCACTGAGATTCCTAAGCTCAGGCCAGGCCCCAAATCTGTGCACATTACAGTTCACCTAAGAGTGGCTGTTCTCAGACACAGATCTGGCCCCAGGATCTCCTTAGTGGCAACCCCTCAGTGGTGGCCCGTGGTCTTCTGGGAGGCCCCTTGCCCTCCTGTGGCCCCTCTCTGCTTCTTCTGTGCTCAGATCCTGGTGCTCCTTTGCCAAGAGCGTTCTCCTCCTCACCCCTCTCATCCTTTCCCTTTCAGCCTTTGCCTCTTCTCCTCTAGGACCCTTCCGGCAATCCTTAAGGGTTTGGTGCTTCTTTTATATACATTAGGATGCCCTGAATCCTTGAACCTGTTTCCCTCCCTCCTTCCCTTCCTTCCTTCCTCCCCCTCTCTTTTTTGAAATAGGGTCTTACTCTGTTGCCCAGGCTGAAGTGCAGCAGCACGATCACAGCTCATTGCAGACTCAACATCTGAGTTTAGGAGTTTAGGTAATCCTCCCACCTCAGCTTCCTGGGTAGCTAGGACTGGAGGTGTGCACCACCACACCTAGCTAATTTTTTGTATTTTTGTAGAGACAGGGTTTCACCATGTTGCCCAAGCTGGTCTTAAACTCCTGACCTCAAGTAAGAACATAAGTGTTACATAAGCATAAATCTGTGCATTATGAATTACTGCCATTTTTTACAGCACAATAATAAGCAACCAATAAAGCAATGAAATAAATGGAGCAATTAAACTCCATTTCTAGAGAAATGGGGAAATTCTAAAGTCACAATTTACCTAGAAGGAGAAGAGCAGTAAGAACGTCAGCCTCCCAAAGTTCTGGTATTACAGGCGTGAACCACTATACCCAGCCCCCTCCTTTCACTAACCATGCACTATTATAATGTTCAGTTCTTGTGTCTTTTCCTTCTACCAGATTGTCTGCTTGTTGAGAGCAGGACCACATCCTGTTTCTCTCTGTATCCCAGGAACCAGCACTGCCCAGCACATAGCAATATTTTGTAAATGTCTGCTGAATGCATTAATCCATGCCTGCTCTAAAAAGCAGACGGACCCTGATTTTCTTTCCTTCTGTTGCCGTGTATTTGAAGCTGAGAAAACATCTGTGCGAGGCCAGGAATTGTGTGGTTGCTGTCACCTGCCTTCTCTCCATTTAACCACCTCACCTTGATGGGTGGGAGACAAGCAGTTGGCACCCACACCACTCAGGACAGCTGCGTGAGGAGGGGCACTTCTGTTGCAGTTTGAATGATGGAAAGAAGGGCAGGTGGCTGGGTGAGAGGAATGTTATGAGTGCACAGAGGAACATGGGGAAGGCTTGGCTCTAGGAGAAGGTGGTTTCAGGAGAGGAGGCTTTGAGGAAGTTTCCCTGATTCACTTCCAATTGTGACATATTCCTATGCACATGCATATGACAGGCTATTTCTAATAGTAAAGAGAATTAAAAATTCTCATTTTATCCTTCCAGAATTGGAAAAGAGGTCAAAAGAAGGTGGGCATCAGAAGTTTAAAAATATTCCATATGGCAAATGAATTGTAAAATATGAATCATTTCCAAAAAGTGTGGTAAGATTTTCAGTAGTTTAATTGTTTATAAATTTTCGTTAAAAATTTTCCATCCTTTGGTTGGAGAGGTAGGATGTTACAATCAACCCTGATTTTATTTTGAGAGGCTGACAGGTTCTGAGACATGAGTGTGTGTTACTTGTGTTTGTGGCATTTCTCTTGCATGAGGTGGTTTCCACGTCACTGAATTGGCCTGTGTGTTTTGCTTATATAACTCTTCTGAAAGTACCTTCTGTTTTAGGACAGCCAATTTTCAGCCATACTTTTTTAAGGAAAATTTTGCAGGGTAAATTAGCCTGGCTGGGTCTGAGCTCTTTATTCTTGGATACGTTGGAGATCGGAAAGATATTAAGATATGGACGTTCTTACTGCTCTTCTTCTTTTAGGTAAACCGTAACTTTGGAATTTCCCCATTTCTGTAGAAATGAGTTTAATTGCTCCATTTATTTAATTGCTTTGTTGGTTGCTTAGTATTACGCTGTAAGAAACGGCACTAATTCATAACGCGCAGGTTTACGCTTATATACCACTTACGTTCTCATTCTTATCCTAAAATATGTGGACTTTTTCTTTACCATTTCTTCTTATTTTTGAATACCAAATTAGCACATATAACTATTTTAAGTAACATATTTGAGACAACTAAGTATAACTTGGTTTTCTCATGCTTTAAGTAAAGAGTATGGCTTTGTTATCTGAAATGATCATATATTTTATTTGTCTTGTTGGTAGTTTTCTTCTTCTGATGTTTTGAATATGAAAAAGAAATAGCCCAGGATACGATTTAAAAATCAGATTGCTTAAATAAGTATGTCTTCCTCTGGAAACAGAAAGTATATAGTGAACCCACATACATTTATTAAGTGCTTATGTGTGTTTGACATTTTTCTACACTGTGGAGGTGGAGGTAGTAAGGAAATACAGAAAAGATTAAGATACAGTTCATAGTTTCTCAAAATATGTTCATCTTAAATGGTGCTCATGGCTTGCTATATGCTAGTAGTCTTTAATAAAAATAATTCCATTTATGTTTTCAGGTCTTTAATGTTTTGTGTTTGGAAGGTGAAACATTCTGAAATTTCTGATGTTTGAATTGTAGAAGGGAACAGGCAAGGCATAGATATTTTTAGTTATTGTGGTTAAAATATGTACAAGTGGAAAAATAACTTCAAATTAAAGGACTCCTTTAGTGCAACAAGGAAAGACTGTCAGGATGTGAAGGCTTAGGAATCATGAGTTATGTTTCTGCTTTTTGTGCTCATTTGTAATCATTCACTTCCTTCCTTGGCCGTTGCATTTTCTTAATGCTGATGTTATGCTCATTTCTCCATGTTCTGACCACCACTCCCAAAATGGTGGTATGACAGGAGCACGCAGGCTCTAGAATCATAATTGCAATGTCAGCTTCCCTGCTAAGCGACTGTGTGTCCTGTTTCTTCTTCTATAAAATAGAATTAATTATTGCTGTTTTGCAAGGTTGCTGTGAGAACAGAGATGTTATGGGAAAACCCTTGGCTCATGGAAGCATAGCCAACGTAAACCCTTTAAGCAAGCCAGCGCAGAGTTCCGTCATAGTGCACCATCATCAGAAACCAGGGCTTCTGGGGTTCTAGAAGTTGCCAGAGCTTATGTTACTTCAGCCACTTGGTGGGGAAACCTTTTGAAATAGATCACACATGTATTTGTTTTTAATCAGAGTGCGTTGGCCATGATGGGGTTAATTTATACTGAGCACATGGCACCCATATCTGGGGTTTCCCTCTTGGGCAAGGCCCCGATTGGCCAGAGCAGAGTCGAAGGGAATGCTCACGGTGAATTGGAGATTCAGATTCCCAGTGGGAAAAGAGGACAAGAGGAGGGCTAACCTGCAAAAATGAGAGTGAGGGTTGTCGTCAGTATCTGAAGGGCCCTCTCTGCAAGAGGAGGTGAACGTGGAAACACATTTCAGTTAAGCATATGGTAGAACTTGCTAACAGTCAGTGCCACGCAGAGGTGGAACGGAGAGTGTGTTCTCCGTCACTGGACTCTGCAAGCCCTGGAGGGCTGCTCTTTGAAGAGTGAAGTATTGGACAGGTCATTGAGTCTGATCCCATTTAAAGTCTCTTTAAACCCTGAGGTTTGATGAATTTTATCTTTTCTCATTGATCCAGTTCCATGAGTATGTGACACTTTGTTCTTTAGCAAATGTTCTTTAGTTTCCACTGTGTGTTAGGCCCCAGGCTGAGAGTTTAATCTCTCATGGGCCCCAGGGAGTTCTTTGTCCAGTGGAAAAGAATCATAAGCAGACACCCTGGAATACCAGGTGCTGTGTGCTGGGACGGGTAAGAGGCAGCAGCACAGTGGGGTCAGAAAGAACATGGGCTCTGGAGCCAGACTGCCTGGATCAAATCCTTGTCCTGTCGCTTACCAGCTATGTGACCTCAGGCAACTTCTTTACCCTCTCTGTGCCTTGATTTCCCCATCTGTAAAATGGGGACAATGATAGTTCCTATTTCATAGGGTTGGCAAAGGATTCAGCAAGCTAATATTTATAAAACACCTGGAACAGTACCTGGCACATAGTAATCACTACGTATGTGTTTGTTAAACAAATGAATTAGAGATCATTTATGGAAGGATAGTATGAGAGACTAGAGCACAGGAACCCAATCCATCTCGGAGTTGGGGAGGACCCCCTAAAAGAGGTGGCATCTGAGTTCATCCTTTAAGGAAAGCAGGAGTGGTCAAGGAGGCAGTTGAGTACAGGTGCTCCTGGCCAAATGTGCAAAGACAGAGTAAGAGAACAGGCCCAGGTGAGTCACCTGTAGGTAACTGTGAAGTTGGAACGAAGTCTGGGACCCACCTCCTATCACTATACTATTCCTGAGGCTGTGAGGAGCCACTGAAGACAGGAAGATACCATCAGATTTGTGTCTTGGAAAGACTACAGTCCAGCA